GAAGCCGGAGCCCGGAAGCGGGAGGCTGGAAGCCGAAAGCCGGGCTTAAGCCGCAAGCCGGGAGCCAGGAACCGGGAGCCGGAAGCTGGAAGCCGGAAGCCAGAAGCCCGGAGCCGGAAACCGGAAGCCGGGAGCCGGAAGCCGGGAGCCCGAAGCCGGAAACTGGAAGCCGGAAGCCGGAAGCCGGAAGCCAGAACCAGGAAGCCAGAACCAGGAAGCCGGAGCCCGGAAGCGGGAGGCTGGAAGCCGAAAGCCGGGCTTAAGCCGCAAGCCGGGAGCCAGGAACCGGGAGCCGGAAGCTGGAAGCCGGAAGCCAGAAGCCGGAGCCGGAAACCGGAAGCCGGGAGCCGGAAGCCGGGAGCCATTTGAAACCAGAAGCCCGAAGCCCGAAGCCACAAGCCGGAAGCTGGACCCGGAAACCGGAAGCCGGAAACAGGAAGCCGGAAACTGGAAGCCGGAAGCCGGAAGCTGGGAGCCAGAAGCCCGAAGCCAGAAGCCGGAAGCCGGAAGCCGGAAGCCGGAAGCCGGAAGACGGCAGCCGGATGCCAGAAACCGCAAGCCGGAAACCGCAAGCCGGAAGCCGGAAGCCGGAAGCCGGATTCAGCCAGAAGCCAGAAGCCAGAAGCCCGAAGCCGAAAGCCGGAAGCCCGAAGCCGGAAGCCGGAAGCCGGCCGGACGCCGGAAGCCGGAAGCCGGCCCGAAACAGGAAACCAGAAGCCGGACACCGGAAGCCGGAAGCCGGAAGCCGGAAACCGGAAGCCGGAAGCCGGAAGCCGGAAGCCGGAAGCCGGAAGCCGGAAACTGAAACTGGAAGCCGGAAGCCGGGGCCTGGAACCTGGAAGCCGGAAGCCGGAAGCCGGGCCCTTACTCCAAATCCGCCCTACTTTGGCTTTTTCCCCTATTGAAAAAATGCGTCGGAAATCCACCTATGAGAAGCCGAACATGATGGACCCACGAACCCGGAAAAAGGGATACAAACATGTGCAGAATGGTCACATTTTCACGATACCCAACTGGGCGACACCTCACGAAACATCCCACGAGACACCCCGCGAAACATCCCACGAGACACCTCACGAAACATTCCACGAGACACCTCATGAAACATTCCACGAGACACCCCGTGAAACATTCCACGAGACACCCCACGAACAGGCAACCACTCAACCAGACACCCCACGAAACATTCCACGGGGGTGCGACTGGGTGTGGTCGTGCTGGGGTGTGGTCGTGCTGGGGTGTGGTCGTGCTGGGGAGTGGTCGTGCTGGGGTGTGGTCGTACTGGGACGAAAAATTCCACGACACACCTCACGAAACATTCCACGAGACACCCCGCGAAACATTCCACGAGACACCCCACGAACAGGCAACCACTCAACCAGACACCCCACGAAACATTCCACGGGGGTGCGACTGGGTGTGGTCGTGCTGGGGTGTGGTCGTGCTGGGGTGTGGTCGTGCTGGGGAGTGGTCGTGCTGGGGTGTGGTCGTGCTGGGGTGTGGTCGTGCTGGGGGGGTGGTCGTGCTGGGGGGTGGTCGTGCTGGGGCGTGGTCGTGCTGGGGCGTGGTCGTGCTGGGGCGTGGTCGTGCTGGGGTGTGGTCGTGCTGTGGTGAGGTCGTGCTGGGGTGTGGTCGTGCTGGGGTGTGGTCTTGCTGGGTGGGGTCGTGCTGGGGTGTGGTCGTGCTGGGGTGTTGTGGTCGTGCTGGGGTGGGGTCGTGCTGGGGTGGGGTCGTGCTGGGGTGTGGTCGTGCTGGGGTGTGGTCGTGCCGGGGTGTGGTCGTGCTGGGGTGGGGTCGTGCATTTCGCTCGAGACATCCTGTAGAAATCCTGAGAAATCCTGGAAAAACAAGCGAACTAGTCGAGACATCCTCGAAATTCCTGCGCGCGGGACGCGGCACGCGCGAGACATCCTCGGAATTTCTGCGCGCAGGGCTCTTTTCCCCGTCGCGGTCGGCTCAGCGAAACCAGCGTTTCGCTCGAGACATCCTCAACAAATTCTGAAAACAAGCGTTTCGCTCGAGACATCCTCAACACACGAAAGAGCGGCCCACACCCTGTGATTTATCGATCGGGATTTCAAAAACAAGCGCTTCGCCTGAGACATCCTCAAATTTTAATCCGCCGGCCCACCTCGACCTCGATATTTATCAAGGGAAGAATCCGCCGGCGCCCCTCAGATGAGGCACCGGGGACAGGTTTACCAACTAAAATAGAACCCTGGGCTGGCGCCCTTTCCAGGAAAAAAAATTCGCCGGCCCAACGGGCCAGGGCGTGCTAAGATCTCCGGTAACTGGTTAACAGTATTAACAGTATTTCTAGTTCGCGCGCGCGGGGCGGCCCCTGGGGGTCCCCCGGCGAAAAGTACCCCGACCAACGCCCGGTCGCCGCCCGACCGCCGCCCGACCAAGTCTACTCAGAGATGGTTTTCCTTCTGGGTGCGGCCTCTCAGGCTCCCCAGAGCGCGCTCAGAGTGCCCCAAGAGGCCCCCAAGACTGCCCAAGAGGCCCCCGAGACGCCCAAAGAGCGCTCGAAGACGCCGAAGATGACCCCAAGACGGCCCAAAAGGCCCCCAAGACAGCCCAAGAGGCCTCCAAGACGCCCCAAGAGCCTTCCAAGAGGCCTCCGAAGAGAGCCCCAAGAGGCCAAAATCGTTGATTTTCATTGGTTTTTTCGATGTTTTTTGTGTTCTGGCTTTTTCGGCTTCCGGACGCTCCAAGACGGCCCAAGAGGCCCCCAAGACCGCTCCAAGACGGCCCACGAAGCTCCCAAGACGGCGCCGAAACGACCCAAGAGAGCCCTCAAGACGGCCCAAGTGCCGCCCAAGACGGACCAAGAGGCCCCAAGACGGGCCCAAGAGGGACTCAGGAGGGATACCGAGAACTCAAAAATGGAGCCCTCCGTCCCAGAAGGCGCCCAGGAGGTCCCAAAGAGGCCCCAAGAGGCCTCCAAGAGGCCCCAAGATGTCGCCAAGAGGCCCCAGGAGACTCCCAGGAGGCCCAAAAGAAGCCCCAGAAGGCTTCAAACATGTCTCCCAGGCGCCCCCGAACGGCCTCTCAACAGACCCCAAGAGGCCCCCCAAAGAAGCATCTTGACGACGACTCTATTTCGCCCCATCGAGAGACGACCCCCAGGGAACTGCTTCACCATCAAAACTCCCCACGCAACGCGTCCGAACGACACCCGCCCCCAAGAGCGCAACATGGGCAACGAACACACAGACAAAAACCAGCGATGCCATATCACGGGCCGGCGGAATGAGCGAAGCGATTCAATATGTTTCCTGGTGGGAGGGCTCGGACAAGCCACCCTGTACAGAATGCAACTGACTGCAAGGTGGGACGCGGCATGCGCGTTTGCTCTATCGGAGCCCGTACACTATACAAGCGCAAAAGTCTACGCAAGCCAGGAGTGCACGCAAAGGCTGAAAGGGGTGAAAACCACCGCCAAAAACGACAAACATAATTTAGTGGCAGTGTTGGCTTCTTGTGAATCATCAGTGGTCGTCGTGGCGCACACCGAATGGAAATTCTTTTGGGGGTCTGTTTGCTGCCCCGTCGCCTTGGACTCAGGCTCACACCTCCTGTCTTCCACGGGCAACCATCCACCGCCAGACTCCACGAGCTTCTTCCAAGACGCGGCAAACGCTATGTCAAGTTTCTGCTGGTCACACACCCAATGTTTCGCTAACGCCAGGTACGCATCATCGTTCACAAGAGCCAAGTCTGCTGTCAGACGCATGGTTCCAGCCAAGATGCTGGCCCTGTCCTTCGTCTGCCACTGCACCGCCGACCCAGATGGAGTTGCGACTTGCTCCCACTCCTCATCAAGCATTCCAGTCAAGAACTGGTTGGTCCATTGAGAAGGAGTTGTCGTCCACGGCCCCTCGAAGCCGCTCGTCATAACGCCGGCACCATGACACTTGCCGAAAGCATGACCACCTGCTATCAGGGAAGCTGTCTCAGAATCGTTCATCCCCATGCGGCCGAACACCTCCCGAATCTCGACGGCACTCTTCTCTGGATCTGGGTTTTGCCCACTGTTCAGATCGTTCGGGTCGTTCAAAGGCCCCTCAGGGTTTACATAGATCAAACCAACCTTCACCGCACCCATTGGCTCCTGGCAATTTCCTTGCACAACGCAGTCCGTATCTTGCCAGCTATCTGTGACGCCAAAAATGTCACTCTTGTTACCATCTGCATCATCGACTCGTCCAAAACAGTGCGGATTTGTTGGGCCTCCCATGTCCCGGATGGCAACGGTGCCAGCAAAACTGATGAGGTCACCCCAACTGAGAGCATCGCCATATTTTTGCTTGATCCGTCACCGTGCCCTGAGGCACGGAGTGGGCGCGCACTCAGGTCCTTCACCTCCTCCCCAGAGCCTCGTTCCCTGAATCCCAGTCCTCAGTCCTGAGCATCTAAGGGGACCAGAGCCAAAACTACGAAATCTTATGGGGCTCGCCGCGTCGGCCCCGGGCTTCTCGCGTGACTTTGGGAGGGCAACTTGTTTGGCACCCCTCACGAAGATCGTGGCCCCCGAGCGCGAACATTTGAGCCCTCCGCCCCAAGAGGCCCCCAAGAGGCCCCGAGGGCTCCCTAAGAGGCTCCCAAGAGGCCCCCAAGAGGCCCCCAAGAGGCCCCAAGAGGCCCCCAAGAGGCCCCCAAGAGGCCCCAAGAGGCCCCCAAGAGGCCCCCTAGAGGCCCCAAGAGGCTTCGAAACTGCCTCCCAGAGGCCCTCAAGACGCCAACCACGAGATCCCAACGAACATCCATGAGGCTTCTGACCCCTCACCAAGGCACGGTGGCGGATGGGCCGAAGGCCACTAGATGGGAACGAGAAGGGCACGGGCCTTATCCAGGTTACCATTGTCCTCCCAATCTGACTCTGGTGGGAAGCGGATTCTGGCACCTCCGCAGCCCCCTTTCTGATCAGATGTGCGAAAGGTGCCAGCGCAATGCCACGCTAGGCGAATCATAAAACCACCGTAATGGCCATCATCGGCTGGCCAGCAAGTCTGGCTGTCTGTCATGAGGATTCTGAGGTCCTGCTCAAGTGCCTCAATGTCTAGCCCTTCTAGGGCTGTCTTGAAGTCACTGTCAGAAATGACTTCTGCCTTCAAACTTGGAGGAGTGCCAATGTCCATGAAGGGGCATGATCCAAATACACCAATCGGTAGAAGAGCCACGATTAATGAGTTCATCGCTGCTTTGAAACACTTTGAATACGAATGTCGCTGGACGTTGTAATTACGGAGGGCTTCCTGAAACAGTTGAGCCTACATTGTAAATTGCGGAGGGCTTCCTGCGAGCCTCTTAGAGGTCTCTCGGTCTGTTCATTGGACCTCTTGGGCGCATTCGGGGCTTTCCCCCACCGAGCCGTGGCTGGATCCTCGCTTTGAATAGGGCGATTGGGTCTACACCTGTTTCTCCTTCGCCCCCGTCCCGCCCTCCTCCCTTCTCCTGTCTCCCCTGTTCGCTCGCCTGGCTGACCTGCCTGTTTGCATGCTCCCTGTCTTGCCGTCCTGTCTGGCAGCTCGGCGGCGCAGGGCTGCGAAGTGTGAAACCGCCACTTTCGAAGGCTGCTGGGAGGGCCAGCGCAGCGCGGAACATCGTGGATCCAGAAAAGACCTCGCTGTTCCCGGGCTGGCTGCGAAGTGCCGAACGCTTCCGGATTGAAATGATCGACCCACGAACCCGGAAAGGAACATAAATGTAAGGCATGGCAACGTTTCAAAGACACCTGATTGGGCGACGGGCAAATGCAATGCTGAGTGTATCGATCTTGATGTACTGTGTCGAGGGCTGTGCTGTGCTACGCCGTGCTGAACTGCGATGTGCCATGCCGCGATTGTGCTCTATATAGCGTTGTGGATCGAGTCCTCCCTGGCATCCGAGTCCTGGCCGAACTGATCTGCATCTTAAGCTCGCGCTGTCTGAGCAGATGCTGGCTGCCGAAAAATTAGCCTGGCGAAGAACCCAACCATATGCAGTTGTCAGTACCGCAGCTGCGGGTTTCATCTTCAGTGGAACTCCCCATAGGATTACGAAACGTGTGAGGGGTGTGCCGAATTGGGTGGGTGTGGGTGACGCATGTGAGCGCCGCCACTGGGGCCTCCGGTGGATGATGGGGCCAAGAAACCTGTGAGGGATGTGCCGAATTGGGTGTGCGGGACGCATGCGCATGTGAGCGCCGCCACTGGGGCCTTCGGTGGAGCTCCCTATGGGGCCACGAAACGTGTGAGGGCTGTGCCGAATTGGGCGTGCGGGGCGCATGCAGGCGGCAGCACTGGGGCCTTCGGTGGGGTTCCCTATGGGGCCACGAAACGTGTGAGGGGTGTGCCGAATTGGGTGTGCGGGACGCATGCGGGCGGCAGCACTGGGGCCTTCGGTGGGGCTCCCTATGGGGCCACGAAACGTGTGAGGGGTGTGCCGAATTGGGTGTGCGGGACGCATGCGGGCGGCAGCACTGGGGCCTTCGGTGGGGCTCCCTATGGGGCCACGAAACGTGTGAGGGGTGTGCCGAATTGGGTGTGCGGGACGCATGCGGGCGGCAGCACTGGGGCCTTCGGTGGGGCTCCCTATGGGGCCACGAAACGTGTGAGGGGTGTGCCGAATTGGGTGTGCGGGACGCATGCGGGCGGCAGCACTGGGGCCTTCGGTGGGGCTCCCTATGGGGCCACGAAACGTGTGAGGGGTGTGCCGAATTGGGTGTGCGGGACGCATGCGGGCGGCAGCACTGGGGCCTTCGGTTGGGCTCCCTATGGGGCCACGAAACGTGTGAGGGGTGTGCCGAATTGGGTGTGCGGGACACATGCGGGCGGCAGCACTGGGGCCTTCGGTGGGGCTCCCTATGGGGCCACGAAACGTGTGAGGGGTGTGCCGAATCGGGTGTGCGGGACGCATGCGGGCGGCAGTACTGGCGCCTTCGGCGGGGCTCCCTACGGGGCCACGAAACGTGTGAGGGGTGTGCCAAAATGGAGGATGATGACGATGATGACGCGCGTCAGCCTCCGAGCCCGCGCCCTGGAGCCGCGCTGGGGTGCGCACTGGCAGCGCGTGCCCGCCAGAGGCAGGGTCGGCGGCGACGCCGGGCAGATTGGCCACGAGCACGTCGGGCGTCACCTTCCAGTGCACCGGTCGGAGCACAACCTGGCCTGGGTTTTTGATGACGAGCGAAGCGACGGCTCGGAGGCAAGCGAGTTCCGATGCTTCGTTTTTCGTTTCGCTCTCCCCGATCGCGACGAGCCGACGGCCATCTCCCGGCGCAAAGCTGCTCGGCAAAGTCAGGGTGCACCGCCAGCCCGCGCCAGAGGCAGCGAATTCCTTGCAAGTGGTGACGGCTCGGACCAAGGCGCCTCCGTACTCTTTAGGGCGCGTCGAGGCATGGTTATTCAGCACGGCGCGCCAGCTGATCTCCTTGTCGCTGGCGCGTTGCTCCAGCAGGTACGCTTCGACCGCCTCGACGCGCGCGGCCTCGAAGTTCGGCCACGGCGCCGCCATGGGGACCGCGCAACGCGCGACGCGCCAGTGGCAGCGGCTTCGCGCACGGCGGAATAAGGCGCAGCGAGTGCGCTAGTGGCGAAGCGAGGAACGCTGAGCATCAGCGGGTTCGAGCCGAAATGTGACGCAGGGTCTCCTTTGATTTTGCTAGGGTCCTGTTTCGTTTTCCGTGGGTCTCGTTTAGTTTTGGCAGGGTCCTGTCTACTTATCCTAGGGTCTCGTTTAGTTGTTCTAAGGTCCTGTTCAATTGTCCTAAGGTCTCGTTTAGTTTTGGTATGGTCGTTTAGTTGTCCTAGGGTCTCGTTTAGTTTTGGTAGGGTCCTGTTTAGTTTTCCTCGGGTCTCGTTCAGTGTTGGCAGGGTCCTGTTTAGTTGTCCTAGGGTCTCGTTTAGTTTTGCTAGGGTCCTGGTTAGTTGTCATAGGGTCTCGTTTAGTTTGGGCAGTGTCCTGTTTAGTTTTCCGAGGGCCTCGTTTAGTTTTGGCGGGGGTCCTGTTTAGTTTTCCGTGGGTCTCGTTTAGTTTGGCCAGGGTCCTGTTTAGTTGTCCTAGGGTCTCGTTTAATTGTTCTAAGGTCCTGCTTAGTTGTCCTAGGGTCTCGTTTAGTATTGGCATGGTCAGGTTTAGTTGTCCTAGGGTCTCGTTTAGTTTTGGCAGGGTCCTGTTTAGTTGTCCTAGGGTCTCGTTTAGTTTTGGCAGGGTCCTGTTTAGTTGTCCGTGGGTCTCGTTAAGTTTTGGTAGGGTCCTGCCTATGGTCTCGTTTAGTTGTGGCAGGGTCCTGTTTAGTTTTCCTATGGTCTCGTTTAGTTTTGGTAGGGTCCTGTTCAGTTGCCCGCGGGTCTCGTTGACTTTTGCCAGGGCCCTGTTTACTTGTCCTAGGGTCTCGTTTAATTTGGCCAGGGTCCTGTTTTAGTTGTCCCAGGGTCTCGTTTAGTTTGGCCAGGGTCCTGATCAGTTGTCCGAGGGTCTCGTTTAGTTTTGGCCGGGTCCTGTTTGGTTTTCCTAGGGTCTCGTTTAGTGTTGGTAGGGTCCTGTTTAGTTGTCCTATGGTCTCGTTTAGTTGTGCTAGGGTCTTGTTTAACTTTCCGAGGGCATCGTTTAGTGTTGCCAGGGTCCTGTTTAGTTCCCCCCAGGTCTCGTTCAGTGTTGGTAAGGTTCTGGGTAGTTTTGGTAGGGTCATGTTTAGTTGTCCTAGGGTCTCGTTACTTTGGTAGGGTCCTGTTTAGTTGTCCTAGGGTCTCGACTAGTTTTGCTAGGGTCCTGTTCAGTTTTCCCAGGGCCTCGCGTAATTTTGCTAAGGTCCGGCTTAATTGTCCTAGGGTCTCGTTTAGTTTTGGCAGGGTCCTGTTTACTTCTCCGAGGGTCTCGTTTAGTTTTGGCAAGGTCCTGTTTAGTTTTCCGAGGGTCTCGTTTAGTTTTGCGAGGGTCCTGCTTAGTTTTCATAGGGTCTCGCTTAGCTTGGATAGGGTCCTGTTTAGTTGTCCTGGGGTCTCGTTTAGTATTGGTGGGGCCCTGTTGAGTTTTCCTAGGGTCTCGTTTAGTTTTGCTAGGGCCCTGTTTACTTGTCCTAGGGTCTCGTTTAGTTTTGGTGGGGGTCCTGTTTAGTTGTCCCATGGTCTCGTATAGTTTTGCGAGGGTCCTGTTCAGTTGTCCGAAGGTATCGTTTAGTGTTGGTAGGGTCCCGTTTACTTCTCCGAGGGTCTCGTTTAGTTGTGGTAGGGTTCTGTCTAGTTCTCCTAGAGTCTCGTTTAGTGTTGCTAAGGTCCTCTTTAGCGTTCCTAGGGTATCGCTTAGTTTTGGTAGGGTCCTGTTTAGTTGTCCTACGGCCTCGTTTAGGTGTGCGAGAGTCTTGTTTGGTTGTCCGAGTATCTCGTTTAGTTGTGGTAGGGTCCTGTTTAGTTGTCCTAAGGTCTCGTATTTTTTTTGGTAGGGTCCAATTTAATTGTCCTAGGGCCTCGTTTAGTTTTGCAGGGTCCTGTTTAATTGTCCTAGGGTCTCGTTTAAAATTGACAGGGTCCTGTTTAGATGTCCTAGGGTCTCGTCTGGTGTTGCTAGGGTCCTGTTTAATTGTCCTAGGGTCTCGTTTACTTTTGCCAGGGTCATGTTTAGTTGTCCTAGGGTCTCGTTTAGTTTTGCTAGGATCCTGTTTAAATTTCCAATGGTTTCGTTTAGGTCCTGGGTCTCGTTTAGTTGTGGTAGGGTCATGTTTAATTGTCCTAGGGTATCGCTTAGTTGTGCTAGGGTACTGCTTATTTGTCTTAGGGTCTCGTTTAATGTTGGTCGGGTCCTGCTTAGTTGTCCTATGGTCTCGTTTAGTTTTGGCAGGGTCCTGTTTAGTTTTCCTCGGGTCTCGTTCAGTTTCGGCAGGGTCATGTTTGATTTTCATGGTGTCTCGTTTAGTGTTGGCAGGGTCCTGTTTACGTGTCCTAGGGCCTCGCGTAGTTTTGCCAGGGTCCTGCTTAGTTGTCCTAGGGTCTCGTTTAGTTCTGGCAGGGTCCTGTTTAGTTGTTCTATGGTCTCGTTTAGTTTTGCTAGGGCCCTGTTTAGTTGTCCTAGGGTCCCGTTTAGTTTTGATAAGGTCCTGTTTACTTCTCCTAGGGTCTCCTTTAGTTTTGCGAGGGTCCTGTTTAGTTTTCCGTGGGTCTCGTTTAGTTTTGGCAGGGTCCTGTTAACGTTTCCTAGGGTCTCGCTAGTTTTGGTATAGTTGTCCTGGGTCTCGTTGAGTGTTGGTGGGGTCCGGTTTAGTTGTCCTAGGGTATCGCTTAGTTTTGCTAGGGTATTGGTTAGTTGTCCTAGGGTCCCGTGTAGTTTTGCTAGGGTCATGTTTAGTTGTTTCTCGGGTCTCGTTTAGTTTTGGTAGGGTCCTGCTTAGTTGTCACAGGGTCCCGTTTAGTCGTGGTGGGGTCCTGTTTAGTTTTCCTAGGATCTCGTTTAGTGTTGCTAGGGTCCTGCGTAGTTTTCCGAGGGTCTCGTTTGCTGTCGGTAAGGTTCTGTTCAGTGCTCCTAGGGTCTCGTTTAGTTTTGCCAGGGTCTTGTTTAGGTTTCCTTGGTCCCGTTTAGTTGTTGCTAGGATCCTGTATAGTTGTCCTGGGGTCTCGTTTAGTTTTGCCAGGGTCTTGTTTAGTTGTCCTAGGGTCTCGTTTAGTTTTGCGAGGGCCCTGTTCACTTGTCCAAGGGTCTCGTTTAGTTTTGATAGGGTCCTGTTTAGTTTTCCTCGGGCCTCGTTTAGTTTTGCTAGGGCCCTGTTTAGTTTGCCTAGGGTCTCGTTTAGTTGTGGCGGGGTCCTGTTTGATGTTCCAGGGGTCTCGATTCGATGTTGGCAGTGTTCCTGGGGTCTCGTTTAGTTTTGGCAAGGTCCTGTTTAATTGTCCTAGGGTCTCGTCTAGTCTTGGCAGGGCCCTGATTAATTTGTTCCTAGGATCTCGTTTAGTTTTGGCAGAATTATGTTTAGTTTGCCTAGGGTCTCGTTTAGTTGTGGTAGGGTCCTGTTCAGTTTTCCTATGGTCTCGTTTAGTTTTGGTAGCATCATGTTTAGTTTCCCTAGGGTCTGCTTTAGTTTTTGGCAGGGTCCTGTTTAATTGTCCGAGGGTCTCGCTTAGTTGTGCTAGGGTACTGCTTAGTTGTCCTAGGGTCTCGTTTAGTGTTGCCAAGATCCTGTCTAGTTTTCGCTGGGTCTCGTTTAATTTTGGCGGGGTCCTGTTTAGTTGTCCGAAGGTCTCGTTTAGTGTTGCTGGGGTCCTGTTTAGTTGTCCAAGGGTCTCGTTTAGTTTTGCTAGGGTCCTCTTTACTTCTCCTAGGGTCTCGTTTAGTGTTGGTAGGGTCCTGTTCAGTTGTCCCAAGGTCTCGGTTAGTTTTGGCATTGCCCTGTTTAGTGTTCCTAGGGTCTAATTTAGTTGTGGTAGGGTCGTGTTTAGTTTTTCTATGGTCTCGTTTAGTTTTGCTAGGGTCCTGGTTAGTTTTCCGAGGGTCTCGCTCAGTTTTGCTAGGGTCCGGTTTAGTTGTCCTAGGGTCCCGTTTACTTTTGCTAGGGCCATGTTTAATTTTCCGAAGGCATCGTTTAGTTTTGCTAGGGTCCTGTTTAGTTGTCCCAAGGTCTCGTTTAATTGTGCGAAGGGCCCTGTTTAGGTTTTTTCCCCCAGGGTCTCGTTTAGTTTTGGTAGGGTCCTGTTTAGTTGTCCGAAAGTCTCGTGTAGTCTTGCTAGGGTCCTGTTTAATCGTCCTAGGTCTCGTTTAGTTGTGCTAAGGTCCTGTTTAATTGTCCTAGGGTCTCGTTTAGTTGTGGTAGGGTCCTGTTTAGCTGTCCTAGGGCCTCGTTTAGTTTTGCTGGGGTCCTGTTTAGTTGTCCGAGGGTCTCGTTTAGTTTCGGCAGGGTCCTGTTTAGTTTTCCTAGGGTCTCGCTTAGTGTTGCGAGGGTCTTGTTTAGTTGTCCTATGGTCTCGTTTAGTTTTGGTAGGGTCCTGATTCGTTTTCCAAGAATCCCGTTTAGTGTTGCAAAGGTTCGCTTACTTGTCCTAGGGTCTCGTTTAGCGTGCCTAGGGTCATGTTTAGTTTTCCTAGGGCCTCGTAGTGGTTGGTAGGGTCCTGTTTACTTTTCCGAGGGCCTCGCTAGTTTTGGTATACTTGTCCTATGGTCTCGTCTTTTTTTTTCCCCGAAGGTATCGTTTAGTTGTGCTAGGGCACTGCTTAGTTTTCCTATGGTCTCGTTTAGTTTTGCCAGGGTCCTGTTTAATTGTGCCTAGGGTCTCGTTTAGTTTTGGTAGGGCCATGCTTAGTTGTGCTAGGGTGCTGCTTAGTTTTCCTATGGTCTCGTTTAGTTGTGCCAGGGTCCTGTTTAATTGTTCCCAGGGCCTCGTTTAGTTTTGGTAGGGTTATGTTTAGTTGTCCTAAGGTCTCGTTTAGTGTTGATGGGGTCATGTTTAGTTTTATTATGGTCTCGCTTACTTTTGCTAAGGTCATGTTTAGTTGTCTAATGGTCTCGTTTAGCTTTGCTAGGGTCTTGTTTT